TTGGACAAGTTGAGCTGTTCCTCTTGTTAGGTATCAAAGAAATTACAGCTCCCTTCCAAGAAAAAGGAAGTTCTTGGTGTTCCTGAATCTCATCTGTTGCCTGAGTTAATAGTTTGATCAGAATTTCCTGATTATATACTGTAGTCTAGAGCTGGACGTTTTGCCATCATTATTATTACTACTGCTACTACTAGGAATATTAGTATTTTATTGTTTTTTGAAGAAAGAATACAATTGATAACTAGGGATAACAAGCAAATACATGAATTTGCACTTGGGACTATTGCAGAAAAAATTATATTGGTTTAAAAAAAAGGAATTAAAATTACTCTTTTTAATTAATGGAAAAGAGACAGAAAAATCCTACATGAAACAGAAGTTGAAGCAGAGAAAAAAAAATTAATAAAAGGCAAAGGAAACAAATGGCCCAAAAGAAAAATGCAGTAACAGCAATACAAAGCACTTTGCATTTCATGATTTCCCTACTATTCTTCCCCATCAGAATCTACATTTTGTGGGTCTATCGATCATTGGAATCTGGTATCTGGTCAGATTTTGCCTGACTGTCAAAATGGAGGCATTGCAAAGGCTGCAAAAACAGCTTGTCATCATTTTTTTCTGTCGGATCACCGTAACACAGCACAGGTCTTGTACGGCATGGGAGGGGTTGATAGTCCAAGATCAGGGGTCAGGTCCAGATCATCTTTAGATGTCCCTGGGGGTGGCTGGAAGGTGAATCCCTGCAGGAGGCTGGTAAAGAAGAGGAAGAGCTCCGTTTTGGCAAGGTTCTCACCAGCGCATGCTCTCCGACCTGGAAGAAAGCACATGTGGCAAAAAAAGTCTGTTTCTTGGTTTCTCAAATTATTTCACAATGTCCTATGGCCATGAGCTATCAGCACACAGGAAAGCAAGCACCGGTCATTGATATGGAAAGACGTTAAAATGCATTAATGGAATGGAAGATGGAAAAATAACACCCAACAAATAGAGTAACGCCCATGAGTGGGTTATTCCTCAATTGGACATAGTCCAAAAGAATTCATTGGGATGATTTTAGGCCTCCCCAGGCCAGCCCTTTTGCTTATCTACTACTCTGCCTTTCGGGGGGAACTTAGTTCTTGGAACAGGGAAAACATTAGAGATAGGCTTCTTGGAAAGGATGCTAATCAAGATTCTAATGCAGAATAGTCATCTCTAATTTCATTCTGGAACCATTAGTATAAAAACTCTGAAGCCTCCCCCAGAATCTGGTTAATATTACCAGTACCCCACTGGAAAAGCCTTTTACATCCCGTTGGTTGCAGACCAGGCCTTTGGAATAGCTTGATGGTAGATTTGGTAAGCTGAACAGCATTTCTGTCCCTGCATTGTCAGTCAAGGGGAGGATGTTACTCACTATGTCCTCCACTGCCCAGTTACAATGAAATCAAGGCCAAAATACGGATAGTAGGTGAACTCAATGACTGAATTAGATTCTTGCAGGTACGTTTCAAAGCATTAGAAATGAGTTGCTACTTTTCCTTTGTTGTCATTTGCACTTAGAAATAAATTTCTAGCTTTTTAATTGTAGCCCTGGCTTTGTCTTGACTCAATTTACTTATGTCTAACACTCCTTCTATTATCTTATTTTATTTTGCTTTGCTTTATTGTGTTTTATGCTCTGCTACACTGCTATGACCTAACAAGAACCCTATTTACTTACAGGGTCAAGCTAAGAATCCCCAAAGCCTGCAGCTGTCTCAGGGCCAAAGTCAGCCAGGAAGGCTGAAGGCAAGATTCATCCTGGATTGCCAAAATACAGAGGTTCTGCGGCCAATGTAGTAGGAAGAACAGGAACTGATGCACAGAGTTGATGGTTCTTCAGACAGTTTCAAAACAACAGACTAGTCAGTCAATGAGGGGTA